TATCCTGGCTTTGTGACAAAATTTCGTGTGAGTAATCAGTTTTCTGAAGCCAATGATCATGTTGGTTACGAAAATTACAGACATGTTTGCCACAAATGGCACTACAAAATTACAAAAGCAATGGTAGTTTGTTTGGACTCAAAAGATTACGTACAAATAAGAAATTCACTTATCATTCTCATCAAAATACTGCCACATTTTCCAGTTTTAGCTAAGTTACGGCAAATTATAGAAAGAAAAATAGAAAAGGTTTGTTGAATATACTATGTATATTTTTTGAAATTGAAATGTAGTAAACAAAGTAGTAACTTACGCTTTTCTGTGTAGGTGCGAGAAGAAGAAAAGAACAAAAGACAAGATCTCTTCATTCTTGCTACAAGTTATAGTGGTCAACTTAAAGCATAGTCGCTTACTTGATTAGAAGAATCGATTTTCCCAAGTTGGTGACAAGGGTAATTACTCTTATTTTATTTGTGTGCTGTGCTGTTGGTGCGTGCGTGTGTGTGTGTGTGTTTTTTGTTTGTTTTTGTTTGTGTTGACTTTAAGTAATAAATTAGCACTAGAAAAAAATATTTTGAAAATGAACTAGACGTGCTTTACAAACAAAATTAAATGGCTGCTAAAAAAAAAAAAAAAAAAATTAAAAAGACGACCCCAAAAACAAATGTAAGGTAACAGTCTTTATGACAGAGAAGTAGTGATACTGGGACAAAGATTGGGAAAACAAATGACATATTTAAGATTGTTAGTTAATTTGACCAGAAGAGTGAAAATAAAATTAGGATATGGAGGGAATTTAAAACAAAGAATGTAATGTAAACTGTTGAATATTTATACCAAAGAAAATGGCAAAACCGGATTACGAAAATGGACAGATTCACATGCAGCATTTGCTGTCAAAAAAGCTCATTCCATTATTTACCTAAATTTGGGTTTTTGCTAAAAAGAAGGTGATATATAACATTAAAAAGATGTAAACCGTTTTAATCCAGCCTATTCCTGCTTTCAATGTGGCAAGAATATCTGAAGAAGAATCTGTCATATCAAACCCTGTGTCACCTTAAGAAGAGTTTTTTTTTTTTTTGTTTTTTTGTAATTTTTAATAAATGGAATGAGCTGGTGTTGTTAGCCTCAGTAAACTGATACTTAACTCAAAGGAATGAATAGAGCTTGGAAAGTTAGAATTCAGATTGCAAAATAAAGAACTCTTGACTGTTACGGGTGAGCAGAGTGAGTCACACAATGTGCATTGTAAGTACTGTCGCTCATGCTGTGGTCTGACAAAATAGCCCTGTAGTCTAAACAGGACTTTTTGGTTTCTCTTCGGTCGTCTTTTCTTCTTTCTTTTTTCTTTCCTCCTTTCTTTTCTGCATTCATTCTTTTGATCATTCTTTCTTTCCTTCATTCATACTTTCATCTATCTGTCCATCCATCTTTCTATTCATCATACATTCTCGTCTATCCATTGTCAATCCTTACCAATCTGTCCAACAATTGTCTATCCTCATCCGTCCATCCATCTATCCTCAAATCTCATCCTTGCATTCATTTATCTATCCATTCATTCATTCAATTCGGTTTCTTTATGATTTTCTTTCAATTTTTTTCAACATTGTTATTTGATTTCAATTGGAATGTTTTGTATTACTTTTTTTACAATGCAAGTAATTAAATCAGAGTTGATTTTTTAAAAGAAATATGTATGTAAGATAAAGTAACAATGGAAACAATATTAAATATTAGTAATACTATGAAAGATAATTTAAGTAAATGGTTTCAGGCTTCTATGAGTCAAGAAATAACTGTTAAACAAGAACCTAACCCATCTCCTGCTATTGTTCCTACTTCAACAAAACAAGTCAATGGAGAAATTAAACCTGGTGAGTTATTTTCTGTACATTATTCTCATTCACATTAAATTACATAATAATCACATATTATTTATATAAACAATCATATACATCTTAACAAAGTAATTGCAGTCTTTTTAAATGTTTAATATGTCATTTCTGTTTTATAAAAATGTACAGTAAAAAGGCCTTACATTTGAGGTACTATGTTCAAACTTGCAGAAATAAGCTAATGATTAATTTTCAATGTAAGTATTTACATAGTATTATAAATATGAGTATGAAGCATAGTTGTCAAAATTTAATTTACAGAGAAAGAAAGATCTTCAGAGAAACATACAGAGAAAATTAAGGAGCAAACAGTACGAGAAGTCAAAGACCGTGGAGAAAGGAAAAACTTGGCTAGGCAAACTGTTGAAGTTACTCCTCCGAAAGCTAATAACACATCCAAATCTGTTTCAAGCCCCAGCACTGCAGACAGCAAACGTGAATTAAGTTCAAGGTGTGTACTATGTTATTTATAAACATCCGATATGAATCACTACTGATTTCTTTGTGCTTGACTTTGAAAGTTGCAGGATGAAACTACAAGGAATATGCTAGCAAAAATTGAGATGACTTCAGGTGTATTATATTAAAAACAAACAAACAACAACTGCCATGCATAGAAAATTAATATTAGTTTTTATCAGAGTTATGACTTCAGATTCAATACTCTTAAATATGGCAAAACCAATTTTTTCTACATTCTTTTGTTTTGTTGAAGTTGTGAGAAAACATGAAATAAAGAAATAATTTTTTTTAATGAAATATTTAATTTTTATAGCAGATAACATCAGAAAATACAAACGGAAGATGATTTTTAAGAAGAAAGAGTTATATAGCAAGATGCAGACAAAAAAAATAACATATGACTAGCTTTCTAATGTACAATGAACTTCAAAATTGTTTTCTTGAAAGTTGATTTTTTTGACTGTCATCGGTAAACTGGAAGATAAAATTTCCAGTTCCGCATGAGAATACTGTGATTCTGTTCCATATGTCAAATATACGAACAGTAAAGCATGATGGCATTTTGCAACTTTTTGTTTTCAAGCACTGAGAAGTGTGGTACTGATTTGTGAAATTATTTTATTATGAAGTGAAATTTCCTCTGCCTCTTCTTCAGTGTATTTATTACAATGTGTTTACTACTCATAATGTAATTCTAGTACTTCAAAGGAAAAAGCCGAAAAGGAAAAATCAAAGGAGAAAGAATATGAAATCAAGGAAAAAGGGAAGAAAGAGGAACGTCGAGAAGAACCAGAAAGAGAGAAACGCAGTAAGGAGAAGAAAGAAGAGAAAGGATCTCAAAGAGAAGAGCGATCATATAGGGTAAATCAATCCTTGAGATTACCATGTATCATAATAGTAAGAGTTTGAAAACTTACATTTTGAAATGCATTCATTTTTCGTTTTAGGATGATCGCTATGCCGATATGCCATCTTCTAGTATTAAAGAGGAGAGATATGGTCCAGTTTCTAGCAATGAGCGTTACTACTCTGGAAGCAGTGATCGAGTCCACTATTACCAACGAGAATCACAGCATGAGGAACGTGATCTCAGTAGCCTGTCCAATAGCAGCTCGGGTTCTCTCCACAGACGCAGCCAAGAACCACCTGAGGTGGAGAGAGGTAGGTTGTTTATGGTTTTCCAAGTCAAGTGTACTACAACAGGTTTCTTTTAAAAAGTTCTGCGAGAATAGTATTTAATTTGGGTATTCTTGGACCTATTAATTAGAACGTTAATTACTTATACCAATTGTTAATTTAATTTATTATTTTAAAATAGGAGTGTGTATTGTTTACATGTAGGAAAAGCTTTTAATGGATGGATTGTCATTGCTATTGCACAATATAAGCTTATCATTCACTATTATAGCCACAAAATTGTTACATTTACGTGAAGTCATTACGTGGGTTTTTTCTTCCGTAATGAGTTGAGCTAAGTGGTTTATATTAAAAGGATGATCTAATGATATTTCATTCAATACATTTTTTTCCCTGATTGATATTTTTCAAAGAATATTGTGATAGATAATTATTAATAATTGGTTATCATCTGTTGTTCTAGTAATGTAAAAAGTTTCATAAATTGAATTGAATTGTTGCCTTATTTTATGTGGCAAAACTCAAGCCATGAGGCCTGCTCTTCCGTGTGACCATCACTATGCTCCTTTCACCAACTAGCAAAGAAAGGAGTTATTTCGTGGGCAATGAAACAGGCGTTTGAATTTAGCTCAGAGGCTTCATTTAGGCTTGAGGAACTTTTACATGCAGTAAATCCACTAATATAGGACAGCCGACTTTACTTCCCCTCCGAAGGAAGGCATACAAAGGATTCTTTCACGCTAAAATTCCATGGTTTCAATCGAGTTCGAACCTGTGAACTTAGGTATAACAGTCCATTTCGCTAACCATTACACCATTGCTGCTGCAAATTAGTTGTTAAAAACTTTCAAAACCAATTAAAGATAATTTTTTTGTAAGCTAGTTTTTGTGAAAACTTAATTAAAGTATATGAAAATGAAAGAATTAGTTCTAATGAAATCTTTATTTGTGTGTTTCAGACGTGAAGAGACGGAAAATGGAAGGCACATCATCTTCCTCGAAGGTTAGTATCCCAGTCTCCTAGCAACGGGAGGCAGGAAATCCAATGAATTGTCGGTTACAGTCTCTCTGTTGGTGGAGGAGGTCAGCAAGTATGATGCAGCTGTATGCAGTGTCGCATACTTTGTTCCATACATCTGTCACTGTGTTGCCTGGATAATGGGGCATTATGGCACACCACGTATTTATTGAATGTTGAAATGGTTGGAAGAATTATGTGATGATTCGATACATGTGATGCACGATTGCAGACTTCATATTCGTATCAAGAAGAAATTTGTTGTGAAGCATATCGTGTACCTGATGCATTTGTTAAGTATTTCAAAATAATAGAAGATACTCGTCTAGGACGTAAAGATGTTTCACTCATCCAATCAAAGAGAAAATATTCATCAGTTCAAGAGGCAGTTTTTTGCATTTCATGATGAGATAGAAATTGTTTTTTATGAGAATCAAGAAATTTCAAGCCATAAATGCTGATGAAGTTTTACGTTGGAATATAGTTCTGATTGTGGGAATTCAATTGAAAATCTGTAATAGAAAATGGACTTAATTGCTTAGCATATGAGATTATTTGGACAGTGTGTTTGGAGTTAAAAATGAAAGTTCTAGTGGGAGAAATATAAAATGATGAGCAGCAGCGTCAGTTGAAGAGAAAAATAAATTTGTGGTATCAATATGCTGGAGATGGTGTACTCCGGGTGAAGAATTATTAAAGTGTTGTTTTTATTAATTAGTTAGATTTCAATAAAAATACAAACATTACGCTGTCATCTGAAATTCATTTAGAAAGAAAATGTGATCATCAGAAAAAAACCTAGTGGCTGTCAAGATTTTCAACTGTGTCTTGAAATTCCCACACAAATATTTTACGTAGTGGTACAAAATGTTCATAGAAGGAAAGTCTCTGTGAGAAAGGAAGATGTGATTCCAGTATTCTCCTCCTTGGGCACAAAGTGGAAATTTGGTGTCCTTAAATACCTTAAAGAAGAACTTTAAATTGAAAACGCTGATAAATTTGGAAACCATTGAAAAAATACTGATCTTGAATTTGGAAGAAGAAAATGGTCTTCATTTTTAATAATACACTCACCCAGATTATTGGAGATGGATATGAGTAAAGGCCTTAGCTGACTTCCGAAGAAAAAAGCTTAAAATCATCAACCGTAAATTCTCATGAAGGCATTACACATATGTAGTGTTGGTATAAATGAAGTTAAGAAGAGAAAGAAGACATCATATCTCCAAATATTTTTCCTGATCTGCTGCTAAATCTTGTGTTTTCAAATGGAACAGTGGACAGTTCACACCAAGGAGTGATGCGTGATTGTGAAACTTGGAAGTGTTTCAATGAAGATGAATGTGGTTTTTTTGTGATGAGCATCTTGTGTTAGAGTGGGGGAGGGAGTTTTGCGTAGTTTTCTCTATATTAACATGTCAGCATTCCTTGAACCATCTTTTGTTTCTTCCTTTCCTCAGTATCCCTTTCACCTAGAAATTCTTACCAAATTCTCAACGTTAAAAACTTTCTGTGAATCATCACAAACCAACCAAATGTGGCATGCCATACTTCCTCAGATTCTAGTCAAGTGGACATGCAGTCCTAATAGTGCTTCTGTCTTATTACACATCAACTGATGGTAAGTATTTATTTATAACAGTTTTCAGTGAAACAGTGAAAATGTGTATTGTTTTTCTTAGCCACACCACAATTACTAGTTAGTTTTAGGCTTTAAGCGCCCTACGTTCATCTAATAAATTGGAAATTTCTTGAGAAGAGTTTATTTCCGAATATTCTTGAATAGATTTATTTTGAATATTATTCAATATTCCGAACTACTTGTCACATTGTAAAGCTTGTTTCTTTGGTTCTTTATAGAAAGGATATTGAAGTGAATGGGGTTATAGTGACAGTTCTTGGAATGCAATCATGTTGTATTATGCAAATAGTTTACCTTCAGTGTAAGAACAATGCATTGTTAAAGTTTTAAATCTTTTATATTTTATTAGTCGCACATAATATCATTTTTGTATGAGCCCACTTATTGTTCTTAACTTCCATTGCTATTCACAGAAATTCATAGACATTCAGTAACAGTATTTTTATATTGCTGAGTTCTCAGTTTTTAGTTAACATATCTCAAAAATTGTCTTGTGTCTTAGACTTTCTTAACATATCGTCAGAGTATGTGACGTATCCTGCCATGTTTTATATTTACAGAATGTCTATAAAATTCATTGACAAATATTGTTTTTATGCTAGTCTACTGGTGAAAATATTTCAAAGACTGATTTTTGTTAATTCAAATATGTATTATAGGGTAATTTATTACACTGGGTCTTGTGGGGCTGAATGAGAAACAAAAGTAATTTGAAAATAATATTTAAATGTTCAGCAAAAGTTTTCGCCTGATATTTTTAAAAAAGTGTTGTTAACGAAGGGGTGGCCAACTAATTTGTAAAATGTTACATTTAAAGTCGAATTTTAATGGAAACCCCCAAAAAAACCGTTATTTTATCTTCCCATCAATCAGTACAGGATTTTCAATATATCCCAAATGCTTATTCACATGTCATTGATATCAAAAGAAGTACTTTATTGGCAAATTTGTTTTGAGTACTTTTTTTTGTAGTTGTTAGTTTGTACATGTGCATTTGTACTTGCCCTGTAAGTTTATTATATTAAACATAATTTCAATTAGATTATTCAATCTAATATAGTTTTCATTAAAATTTCAATTACATTTAAGACCTTAAACATTTTGCGTGTTTTGTTATAATTATCAATTGATATTTAAATTTTTTCATTACATATTAGTCATGAAAATCATGTACTGTGAAATATCTACAAAGAGTTTTCTTCATACTTTGATTCTACTGTATGCAAATTAAAATGTAAGAATTAGTAACTAGTACTCTTAAATAGCCCAATTTAGACAGTACTGCAATTTTAATGAATCCATTTGAAATTTGTTAGTTTTGGTAATTTTTATTTGCAAGAATCTAGAAATATTTGCTCAGGAAATTAATTTCATTTTTGTTTTTTATAATTCTAATAATAAGTCTACTCGGAGCTAAAGATATTTACCTTCTATTTTTTTTATTAATTCCTTTTTTGATATATCACACAAAGCTATTAAAATAGTAGTGTGAAACTGTTCCTTGTGTTTTAATGCCATTTATTCTCTTTGTCTCTTTGTGAACTAGTAAACATGTACAATAGAATTTGTTTTTATGAGTTATTAGTTGTAACTTGTGGTGTGGCAAAATTTTGTAATGCAAGACTGATGTTCTTTTCATTATTGTGGTATTCAGTTATAAATGTTAAAATTCTGGAGTGTGAAGAAGAAACTTTTCTGAACTAAAGTATTCTCAGCTACCACTTTTACGGTTTTAGAAAATTGAATGTCCTGGGAATATTAAAGAGACTTTTTGTTTTTCTGTATTCTGTCTTCTGTTCTTTCTTATGAAAGTGAGATATTACACCTAAGTATTTCAATGTTTGTTTGTTTTTGCTCAAATTTGCCAGATATTTCATATGTGCTAGATTTAGATTTTATATGAAGTTTTTTTCAAAATGTTTTAAATACTTTTTCATTCATTATTCAATACACCTTTGTTCTGTAAAAGAATACAACTAAAGGGGCTAATAATATCTTTTAATATTTGAAAGTTTTGAATGTTATCTGACAGGGTGATGGTTAAAAGAATAGGAAACTTTTGTCAAGTAGTTAACATCCTATTCAAATACACAAATATATACTTACAAAATTTAATTTACTATCATTGATATTTTAAATGTAAAATCTCCAATTTCCATCTGGTTTCTAAAGTTTTAGGTATCTTAATATGACCTCTAGAAACCAAGATTGTTATTTATGTTGGTTTCTTTTGCAGTATTCAACAGTCTTTCATGTACATTATTTTATTAATTTTTTAGAAATTGAATTTTTTCCTGAAGGTATATTCTGCTACACTAGCAAGACATTTAGCCCTTTCTAATGACCATAGAGAAAATAAAATCCACAAAATTTTCAATTTTGGGAAGTATTAAATTGTTTAAAGAATTAATCTTCAATTATTGTGATTTTCTAATTAGGAGGTCAAGTTTGCATAAAATATGGGCATTCCAAAGAGAAGAAACACTAAATTGTGCAATAAAGTAAAACATATTTTTCACCTTCATTAGTGCAAGATGTAACACCATTTTGAAATAACCAAGTTCTCTAAATAACTGAAACATAATTTTTATATATCAGACACGAACTTTTAATAAATACTAATGTTTTCCTTGTATGGTAGCAACATTTCTAAAGATAGACGGAAAAATAATTTTCACCATTACATTCAGATTCTACATATTGTATTTTTTTATTGTGTAGTGTTTATAATTTAAGAATGAATCCTACTTATTTTAAAGGAGGATGAGTATGTCTGACCTTCACTTCATGTAAATGCTTGTTTATGGATCAGAATCTTAGTTTCCTAATTTATTATTTACTTTGTGCATTTTTCAATTTGAGATTAAAGAAAGATCAAGAAAGACTTGACTCTATTCTCACTGACTTGTCCTGATTTGTCTTAAAATATAAAGTTGATAAGTTGAAGTTACTTGTGTTTGTATGATATTCTGAAACTTTGGAATTTTATTGATTTGGTATTTTTCTTTAAATAATATTTATATAAACATAGTACTAAACATTATCAAAAATATTTAATGTATTCTTGTGATATGACAAAATGTTTCATTTCTTCATGGAGTTGATGTACTTTTCTAGTGGCTTGAACAAAGTTGGCCACCCCCTCTATTGCACTTGATTTCTTTCAAATCCATGATTTCAGTATAGTTATTTAGAAGCAAGCTTTCTGAATTGATGCAGAATTATTACTCAATTACCATTGTATAGGAAGGTGTATTCTTTATGGGGTAAGACAATCTTACAAAAAGGTTGTTAAGTGTGTGAATTCCTCGTGGTATAAAAGGAGCACAAGCTTAGGAGTGAAAAATAACCTTATGAATGCAGAACTATCTGTATTAATAGTTTCTTCCAAGAGTAATCCAGCTCGACAAAAATTAATAAGAAAAAAGAAAAAAAAATATTTGTATGTGTTTAACAAACACTATGAATTTCATAATTTTAAAATTGTAGTTATGTAAACACTTTCTTTTTTCTCTATGTAGGTATTATTTTGATCTCTCTTCTATTAACATAAGTGAAAAAGGGTTAGTCTTGCATCCTTTATCTTCCAATTTTTTTAAAAGAAGGTAATTGGGATAAGATGTTGGAGAAGCAAAAATAAAACTGTTCAATTTCATCATCTGTAATATCGAAAATCATAATTTTTTAAGTATAATTTATAATAGTATAGAAAAGAATTACCAAACTTTTGATGCATTGTACACTATTCTCAGTCTGTTCCCCCAAAATTCTCAAGGGATTCGTTTGCAAAGCCCTTAGTCTGTTAGTTAGACCTCGTATATGAAGCACAAGAGCTCAGGTGTGTAAGCCCATTAGCGAGGAATTCAGTCCAGCCAGAATGGACCATATGAACTCTCATTGCAATTGTTACCTTCCCCAATGCCCTCGTGTAGGAATTAAGGCATATTTTTGATTGAATTTGTAAGATGTTCTGGGCTATGTGATATCCTGTGGAAGATCATTCTACAGGTCTAATACTTCTTTGGTATTAATTTTGTTATTCAAGGAATTAAAAAGAAATTCCAACTAATTGGATTGTAAGTTTCCTACAGTACTGTGATTTATTATGAATAATTTGGGTTGTATCAATATTTGTCGATGAGTGAGAGATAATTGTAAGCCATTACTTTTATTTATTTGAGCTGAGCATACTATGAGAGGAACTCTTTCCCCATTCAAATGACAGGAGGAATGATGACCGATTTTCATCAACTTTCATTTACTGAACATTAAAAATGCTGTATCTTTCATTGGTGGTGTTTATGATTATCTCTCAAAGACTAACTCCATGAAAAAATTTAATTAAAATTTTGTAAAATTAGAAAAAGCTCAAAAAATCTTGCAAAATCCTTTGTGTTGTAAACAGTGACTTGTGACTGATCATAAGCTGGATGTGGTTATCCAATTGGGAATCTCATTAGGACTTTAATTTGTGGTTGTGATGCTCCCAATTTGATAACCACATCACAGCTGATGATTTTTAAATAGGACAATAATACAAAATAAAAGTTTTAATAGAAGAAAAATGAGGGATGAAGATATGACCCAAAAAATGGCATTCTTAAAAAACGTAGCAAGGTAGTATTTCAAGAGGGAGCCCCTCTCATTTCAGGTTGTGCTCCTCCTTTTTCTTTTCTTTCTTTTCTTTTCTTTCTTTGTTTTTTGTTTCTTTCTTTGTTTCTTTCTTTTTCTTCCTCTATCATCATCATCTCCTTATCTTCTCCCCCTCCGTTTCTTCTTCTCTTCATCTTTTCTCCCTCATCTCTTCTCTTCTCTCCTTTTCCCTCTTCTCTTCTCTCCTTTTCCCTCTTCTCTTCTCTCCTTTTCCCTCTTCTCTTCTCTCCTTTTCCCTCTTCCTCTTCTCTTCTCTCCTTTTCCCTCTTCCTCTTCTCTTCTCTCCTTTTCCCTCTTCTCCTCTTCTTTTTTTGCTTTGGCTAACTAGTTTTTAATTTACAAATAGGAGTAAAACAGGATTTAAAATCTATCATTAAGAATTACTTAAAATTGTTATTAAATTAAGCATTGGCTTTTTACAATTTAGAGATAATTATAGATATTAATAGATATAAGATATAGATAATAATTAGATTATTAATAGATATTATAAATATTAATAGAGATAATAATTATCTAATACATAGTTTGATCTAAATGACCAATATCTCAAAAAATAAGGCAAAAATTGTAATAAAATACAGCCTCAAGTAAATTTTCTCTTAAAATCAATTGAGAAGGGGAGGATGTGTGTGGACGTGAGTGTGGAGTGTGTAATGGGTGGACAGTGGACAAGTTTCCCATGATGCACCACTTGCATATTCTTGTGCATGTTCTTAGCAAATGTGCAGGATAATGTATCCAGTTTCAAATAATTAGAAATAATCTCAAAAATACTAATTGCCAATACCAACAAATCATTAATTTTGTGGAGATTTATTGTGTCTATTAGGAGATTTTGTGGGTGCCTGTGTGTGCGACTGTTTTGTTTTTCTCCTTTCTTTATTATTATTTTTTCTCTCTTCAAAAAACACTGGATAGCTTTTTACTATCCAGCATGTGAGATTTTTTCTCACTAAAACTAACCTTCCCTTCTTCATCCTCCTCTTGGAACTACCTTCAGGCATTATATTGCAGAGAATAGAATAGTGAGCCAGTCACATGATGTTAGCAGAGCCGAACCATGAGCCCTGCTTTCTTTCTCTTGGCATCTTAATTCCAGCAATACTCATTGTGCAAAATTACACTCCACTCTCCAACTGGTTTTCAAATGCAAGCATATGCAACTCATGCAGCTAGGTTTTCTGGAGCCACCTGGCCTATCACAAGCATCTTAACACTGACTCATCATTGACATTTAAAACATGGGCACTAAAAACATGTTCGACATGCTCAACAGCAGGTTCACACACAGGACAGTACATATCATCCAGTATGGTCCTGTTAAGATAGGTTCTAAAGCATCTAAGTCCCATCAGATAATAATTTATCCCACCTTGTTTTCAATTGATCCACGATTAAACTGTAGGAATTAGGTGGTAGGTCCACCTTCCCATGGAGGAAGAGTCCCATTATTGCTGCCATTTTGCTAGTTGGTTCAAGCTCTTTTATATCCCATCTCTTTTGTCATGTCTCTGCTGTTCACTAGCCATTATATGTATTGGGATCATCTTGGCTATGACACTAACTGCTTCATTTGAGATGATCTGGAAAGCGTAAGCAACCATGAGCACAGATAGCCGATATATTGAAGCCATGCTTCTTACTTAGACCTACGTATGTGTAAAGACTCAAAGCAAAGGTGGCTCAAACTGGTGATCAATAGGGTTACTGATGAAATTACTGAAGCTAGGAGCTTTCTCTTTTCATGACTAGGCTCTCCAGTGTGTCGGTAGCCTGACAAATCAGTGGAAAAAATGAGAAAATAGTTTATTCTTTAGCTTACAAATTGTGTATTGAAAAATGATGTAACATTTTTTCAATCAAATGGCAACATTGACAGCATTAGATAAATAAACTACTATACAAACTATAGGCCTCAAGGCTTACTACAACCCTTAATACATGATGATGATGATGATGATGTAAATGTGAAGGGACATTTTAGTCAGGCATTATAATGTATTTCTGTAAAATTATAGATAATATATTTCTTTAAAATTACTTAAGACTCTCTGTATATTCAAAATATCTTTGTTATATTCAACTACAACAACTTCTCTCAATGGACCTTATAAATTTTGTGAAAGACATCCAGAATGGTAGAAACAAGATCTCTATCAGATATGTTTGCAAAGTAGTTATTGAGTATTATGGGAAATTATCTATAAATCTTTTTGAAAATATCAATATTGTTCATTAGATTATTTAAAGTTATAAGAGAGGCATTATTCATTCATGTAATTAGTATCCATTTTGAGAATGTTATCAACATAAATTGTATACATTGTAAACGTTTTTGAAGAAATTCAACTGTGATGCAAGTTCTCTTTCTCTTTAGTAATTAATATTATTTGCATAGTTTTTCTGTCATACTGCTGATTCATCATGAAGCCTTAACAACTAAAGAGCTTTGTAATTTCTGAGCTGGGTTCTCTTGCTTGTCTCCATTAAAGAATTGTCGAATAGATGTATAGATTGTTCTGTAGGGATAATCAAAACCTTCTTTTGCTCCTTTGCAATGCCATGAGTAGACTAACTTCTGAATCTTTCTGTATTTGATTCTTACTACCTTCATAAGCATTTTATGTTGTATTGTTACTTGATTTTCATCTTCATTGGTAAAGTTCCTGCAAAAGTCACATATTGTGAAATTTTAAGAATTTGTGACTATTTATTTATATTTTTTTATTTAAGAAGCAAATAGATAAGGCGTTTTAAATTTATTAATGGCTACTAATGCAGTTTTGAGTTGTATTTGTTTTCTTATTGAATGTAAATAGTATCTGTGCTGAACCATGATCATCCTGGAAGTGGAGAACCCAGGTTGAGAAAATGACCAGACGCCCATTAACCCCCCTGTTCTTCCCTTCTACATCTTTGTATTTGTAGAACTCGAAGCATGAAGAACGCAAACAACAGTTACTGGAGGCAGCATCTTCAGGATTGAGCATTGAAAAGACAGAGAAAAAGGAACGGGGATCCAAATCCAAAGATAAAAGTCTACGTGATAAGGGCACTGCAGATGAAGAAAAGGAACTGCGTAAGGAGCGCAAAATGAACAGAAAGCGGGTAGGTATTTTCTAATAAATTATCTAACACATTTGTTTGAACTTTTGTCCCAAAAGAATAAATTATACTTTTAAATTTTTTTGAAAATATTCTTTGAATTTTATTGAATCATTTTGTGTAAATTTTTGTATTTTTGAAGGATCATCTGAGTAAATACCTAATCAGGTACTACATATGAGACTTCATTATGAAGATGCGATTCTAGTTTGAAAAATTAGTATACATTATTGCGTTAAAGCAAAAGATTTTAATGTTTGAGTTTATGATTATCTAATGTACTTGCAGATAAGATTAATATCTATAAAGCTTTAATTATATATTGGCAAGGCTTGAATTGCAATTTTCTTCAGAGCGAGGAGGATGAATTGACAATAAAACAAAAACCTTCTTTGATTTTGTGCCACAGTTCAAATAAATTCTAAGAATTCTCTTCAGAAAGTTCTCATTTGTTGTTTCCAAGATTTGAACATTTCAAACTGTGGAAATCATAAATGAGGCATCTATATATAGATTAATTGTGTGTCTGGCTAGAAAAAAAATACTTTTCCGACAAACTCTAGACACACACGTGCTGGGGAAAAATGTGTGCCTGCAAAGGCAAGTGTGCACAGTCACTCGTTCGCACACACACTCAAGCATGCGCTCACACAAACACGTTTGGGCATCGGATATGTATCGCACGCATGTCTTACCGCCCTTTTTTACAAGATCTTTGGAAATCAGATTTGGAGGATACTCTTTGAAACTGGGAAAAGAGAGAACCAAAACTGAACAATAATACTATTTCATCACTAATCATGTTGTCAATGTGTGGAATGATTTACCAACAAATGGTATTGAAGTGGAAACTATTGACTCATTTGAAACACTACCTTGATAACCACATACAAACTAATAGTATTAGTGGTTAAAATGTTTTCAGCAAAATTGAAAGAAATTTTGACTTAGACTGTGAGTTTATTTGAAAAGTATATATAAATGTTGTATTCCCATTATTCTACTATAAAATAATTTACCCAGTATGTTGTGAAGTAAGATTTTCTCAAACACAGCTCCAAATTTTTTCTTTAATTTTTTCTGAGTATTTTGCTTGATAATAATACGACATTGTACATATTTAATATTGAAACTAAAGATTTATTATTGCAATATCTATATGGGATTTTTAAATTTCAAATACACTTTTCTGAAAATATTTGGAGTTTTCACATAGTTTCAAGTTGAAATATGATGCTTTACAAGTGTTTGTATTAAAGCCCAATAAACTAAGTGTGTTCATAGTGTCTTAAATGGGTTAGTCAGTAGAACATGCGCTTCTCACCTGCTGCTCCACGATACGAATAGTAAATATTTGGTTAATTTTTCTTTCTTTCTTTTTTACAATTCAATGCCAGAAATCCATTTTTATTTAATCTTTTAAAATTCCAAAAAATAAAAACTTTTTTTTTGTCCCTAAAGCTCTTAATATGTACTATTAACAATAATTTGAGAAAGTGTGTAGTATTGCTAATTAACTATACAATGGTCAATTTTTGTAAATATGTCTTTCCAATGGAGGTTTGGAGGTGTCCAGAAGGGGGGGGGGGCTGGGTCAACTTGCCCCAGGTCCTGAATTATTTGGAGGTCCTGAAAGTCTTTTCATTCATAACAAAAAAATAAAAATATATTTACTTCTAATCTAAATAAAGCATTACTAGTTATTTTTTTTAAATGTAAACTATATATTTTTTTTTTACTTCTATGTAAAGGAAGCTATTGACCTACGTCTGCAAAAATCCTTCTGAACAAAGCCACTCAAAATAGTTTCCCCAAAACTAACAAGCACATTGCTCAAGAACAAAAAATAAAATATCACAGCAATAAATTAAATATTTTAACAAAAACCGTATTCAAGGATATTGCAGTAATGTTCAGCAAATATACAGTAAAACAGTTCTTTAAATCAGAAGATGGTTTTGCCATAAGATTTTTTTAGGTTGACAGGGCATTTTAAAAATTTAGACAGTCATGTAATCCTTGGTTTGCGATGTTTTGAGAATCATGCATTTTCCCCAGCTTCAGGCTACATAGGCCAATAAATATAACATATTATTTTTAAATGAATATTGTTACTTGTCTTAAAATACCCAACAAATGATACAATTATAATAAAACTCAATATAAAAAACATGTGATAAACCTTATTCTTAATTGATGCAATAAACAATAAAAATAATTCTTGATATGTTTGTTGTGCAAATACTGAAGATAACTAAAAAGACTGGAGAGAAAAAAATTTTCTCCAGTGTTTTTAGTTGATAACAATATCCTCTTATTGCGCACTTGGTTTAGCAATTTTATATCAATTTTAACTTTTGTTTTAAACTTTTTTCAATTTGAGGATAAAAGTTAAACAAATGTATGTATTTATTTCATTGGACATAAACGTACTAGATTTAGAGTTATTACCCTGATACTGGTTGATAATAGTTTTCAATTTCTGTCTTGTCAATTTGTTAATATACATAATTGGATAATTATTCAATTTCAATATTTCAGAAATTTTGTAGTGGGATGGGGGAGATGTCAACTTGGCCCTATGGCCACATTGACTAAATTCTTTTCTACGGACTTTTTTGTAGATACAAGACAAAAGGTTAAAAGGTAATTTCTGCATATATTAGCTTACTGTACCAGATTGTGGTAATGCTATCATTATTACAAAAGATGGTAACATCTAGAAAATTTGTGAATTTTGTTCCTCTTCAATGGTAAACCAAATATTTGAGTCATACTGATTGAAAATACTAGACAATGAGTTAATAGCAAAAGTGGGAAAATCATAAATTTAGCATCCACAAACCGCACATATAGATCAAATTTTATTTGTTGAATGTCATGTTATAGTTTATTAATTACTAGTTCTGCAAAACAATGTTTAATGGACAACCAGCAGGCGTGCCCTTGCATTGGCTGTATTCTTTACTAGAAAAAGTAAACTCTACTGTATTCAGAATGACTCAAAGTGGTTCATGAATTTTGTGCGAGTTAATGGATTGAAAAGTTCTTTACGGTCACATCAAGTGTCACCAACTTAAGATCAAGATTCATATTCACAGTAACACTCTGTTTAGAGAAGATTATGTTTATGCCATGAAAAACAATTTTTAATTAAATAGTAAAATGAATACTGATTTTTCTTGCAATAGATACTGCAACTCAAATTGCCAAAAATTATACAATCACGAAACAGCCCTTTAATACAGATTTCTTTATTTATCTTTTTTAAGAGATCACTTTTAGGAAAAATATAGGTATACATTCACTGAATTTTTAATAGTTAAAATGAAATTTGATGAAAAGCATTTGTGCAACATATCCTGTGCCTCAGCTACATTCTTGAGGAAATCAGGAGAGGGGATCAAGTAACTATAAACTGGCCATGGATATGGTATCACAGTTGCTCACTCCATTTCAATTTCATTTCTTCCAATTAGATGGTAAATATGGAAGTGACCTAACATTTCATTGTTTGAATTAACTGAGCTTTCTTTACCTTTCTAAACTATTTTTTAAAATATTTGAAAGTTTAATATTTGGTTAATATTTAAGGTAGTAATATAACTGTAAAAAAACAAAACAAAAAAAAATTGTATGTTAAAATTGTTCAATTTTATTCATTTGTATTAAGTAGTGTGAACATTTATATTTTTCATATTAATGAATTTTACAGGCTTATAGATCAAATATCATGAAGTCATTTAGTAAACCATTATCCAACGTTTGTGCAAACTTGTCTTGTTGAGTATAATTAAGAACTCAGCTACATTTTTCCGGGTATTTCAATTCATATATATCCCCACTTCTAACTTTTATACTAAATTGTGTTTTATCAATTATAATGAGAGAGTTGTGAAAAAGGCTAAATTTGAGAAACTTTATGAAAAGAAAAGGTTCAGTTGTTTTAATTTTAATTAAAGATGTTGTCATTGCAAACAATATTATTTAATGCAATAGCTGCTTTCGATGGCTTAGCCATCATCATCAGTTGTCTGATACAAGAAGAAGAAAAAAAATTTACGTGTCCTATTTCTATTTTCATTCGCTTTTCTTTAGTATTAATGAGCTTAACCCCCCCCCCACCACCCACCACCACCACCAGCCTTCAGTCATGTTTTGTGTGCATTCTTAGAATTGCAACCAGAGAGTTGTTTTCCAGATACAAAAACTATAGTCACAGTGATATTAGTTTAGAAGTTTTATTTTTCAGATATTAGTTCTTAGTTTCTCATGGCCCTTGGGCTTTTTTGTAGCCATTCAATCATTAGATCATTTATAATGCCATTGGTTCATAAATAACTATTAGTTGGGTATTGCATAATTAATGTGTGTTACTATATTATTTTTATCAATGTTGTCATTATTATATTCACTCAACAAAATAATTTTCTTGTCTTGCAGCAAGATCGAGGTGATGACACCATTTTGGAACAGAAACGTCGGAAAGATGAGGAAAAAAGTAAGCTTATTAAAAATTATTGATTGTTTTGTATTTGACATTTATCTGATGTAATAAATTTTCATACTGATGTATGAGTGGAGTACTTTTTTTAATGTCTTTGTATTACATTCTGAAATTGGAAGAGAAGTTAAAAAGTAGTGAAAATTTAAATACTCATTTTATTTTCAATATTAACTTGCTATCTTTGAAAGGCATTTAATAATTGTGGAAGTGGAGAAAATCCATTAAACTGTTCAACATCTTAACAAAGGTATACATTGAAGAGTTCTTTTCACAGTACAGTGTGAGTATTATTCATATAGATTAATTATATTGATTAGAATGAGCCTTTTGAAGTTAATAAGTGTGCTTGTGAAGTAATTCATTCCCAGTACTTGTCTGATGCTGCAAGAAATCAGAACTCGTCTTGCTTATATAGGGAAGTGGAAATAATTGCTATGAAATTTTGCTCAGGTTCAAAGATGTCAAGTCATCAGAATGGTGATCCAACTGACAGTCATCCACGAGAAAAACACCATTACCAAAGAGTGAGTAGATTTTTGTTGTCATCCCTGTAAATGTATTATGAGTAATTTTGTGTGTGTTTGGGGGGGGGAGAGAGAGGGAGAGGGATATATAGATAGATAGATAGATATCACTCTTTAAGTAATTGCAAAGAAAACTATTTTGAAATACATTAATGAAATTATTGTGATTAATTGGGTTAAATGTGAAGTGCTGCCCCTGACCGGGAGGTCCTATGTTAGTCTCAACAGTGGCATGAATTTTGACAATTGGTTAGACAGTCGAGTTCAGCAGATTGGAGGGGAATTCTCACAGCCAGCAGCTCTGATCAGTAGTTTTCAATGGTTTCTCCAATCAATACCCTAACAAACAGGCTATGGACTGCACACGATCTTTCCTTCCCCTTCCTTTACCTATCCTCCCCCCCTTAATTACACACAGGCACTACATTGCAACACATGCCAGGAGACAGGTTGGAAGGAACTAATGACCTTAGCTATTGACGCATTAATCAGCCTTCTTCCTTTTCCTGTTCCTCCTATTTCTTCTTCCTTTTCCTCCTTGGTAGTTTTTCTTCGTTTCTCCCAGCAGTACCCTAGTGAACAGTCGTACAATTTCTCGAAGGCACTGACCCTATATTATTTTTTAACCAAGCTAACATTTTTTACCAAAACAAAAATAGCAGGACTTGTTTTGAAAGATAGCATTCACTCTATATTATTAGAGTTGTCTTGCCATGGATAAATGAAATTTAAGTAAATTTTGTTTTGTTTCAGGACAAGTCACCTTATTCACGTGAACGAGAACGATCCCATGACAGAGAAGGTCGAGATAAACAATATCCTTTTTATTACATTTTAATTTTTGTTAATGCCTTTCTTCTTTTGATTTAGTATTTACTTATATTGTAAGATCCACTGAGTCTTCAATTCAGGGGGTGCTTACTGGTATTATCAAAACCAGTGTTCCCATCAATTGTTGCAATCATGATTATTCTAGTTTAATATGATCTCAAGTTTAGAAATTAAAATTTAGCCAAAGTTAATGGATTTTTTAAATCAGAATCAATAGCTATTGTCTTTTATGACATCCTTTAGTATGATAAATATACATTTTATATAGATTTATTTACGAACCAGTGGTTTTTATCAAAAATTACTTATTGAAACGTGGGAACATATTTTCAGCGAATACAGATATCTATAACGCTTGATGTAGTAATCATATTCATCAGGTGTCAGTATCAGGTGCTCTTTCCAAAAAAATCACATGCAGTATAATATTTTACAACACAACGCCAGATGACATTAAACATTTAAAATTGATACCAGATAAAATTCTTTTATGCTGTACTACCGTTTCTAAAGTAAAATTGAATTTAACAATGATATTTAATGTAGTAGCTACCATTTGGACTGTGTAAAATTGTAAAAGACCAAACAGGCATGTAACAGATACATTGTACCTTGGCGTGTGGGTCACTGATACTTATTTCAATCAGGTTTTTTGTCCAAGTGTCATCTTTTGAACAGATGCGGAGGTGGTCCCTTGATTAGCTTCTGAACATAAATGTAAGTTCATATTCGTTAGAGTTCATTAGAGAATATGTTCGTGCATATTTTTTAGAGTTCATTGGGAAATGTATTTCTCATAAGCGATCTTCAGGTTCAGAAGTTGATTCTGTCACTAATGGCAAGATAATAGCCATAGTTTGTAGCTGATTTGCCTTTGCAAATAGATTTTTTGGGGAGTGAGTATTTTCTTATCAATTTTTCTGATTTTTGCCCCAAATACTCTTTTTCACATGATTTTGTGATTCAGAATGAATGAGTTAGGGTAGGGTTCCCAGATTTTAAGAAAACATGCACAGAATCCACTTTTTGGAAAATATGGAAAAACTGGGGGAAAATTAGGATATTTTATTACACTAGAAAAATCAAGGAATTTGCAGAAGAATCATTAGACATCAGGGAAAATTTGAGTGCATTATAAATCTAGATATTATTCTGTAAAATCAGTGCAACTTTATTTCTTGCTCAGTTCATATTTGGTGAGAAAAGTATTGCTAATTCATACTTTGTCCTGGTGTAATCAGATAGCTAACCACTTAGTATAGAGGTATTATTAATATTTTCTTTAAGCAATGTGAAATTACAAAACTTATCAGGGAAAGAATTTTAAAAACTTGCATTGCAAAAACGAGAAAAGTCAGGGAAATCGTTCCAGGAAATGAATGCCCAAATGGGCAACCATGTCTTCTCCCCATAGAATATCAGGCGCAGTTCTTAACTGCTTTTGATGTGAAATTAAATTTCAACAAAAGTGTCATCACTAATGAAAATGTGTAATTAAAATTTGGGGATAAGTAGACTGCCTCCAAGTCTGATTTCAATGCAAGTCAGAGAAAAATCAGGGAATTGGTAGAAAAATCTTTAGAAGTCAGGGGAATTTTTGATTTTATAAAACTAGTTTTATTTCTTTAAAATATTAGCGCTTTTATAATTATTTGTTGGTGAAATTTTTTGTGATTTATTATTATTGATAATTTTTTCATTATAACATCAGAGAGGTGACAATAGCAACAGGTATTCAAGCTTTACTGTTAATTAATATAAATTGTGTGTTATTCCTTACAAAGTATGTCAGGGAAATTTCAAAAACATGCTGGAACTGGGGATAAGTGAGGGAAATTTGTTTAGGAAGAGAATTGCCATCCTATTTACCGTTTTGATGCTTTGTGTTATTTGCTGTTAAATGCAACTGAAGTGGATAATTTCCTTAATAATTTTCACTAGAAGGTCTAGTGAAGGCAAAAGAAGATGATAATGAGATGCAGAAGAAGAGGCAATTTATTCTTTTTTGTAAGACAATGACGTCAAAGTAATAAGTTGAATGTTGAGTTTTAAATGTAAATTAGTTCTCAATACCTGACCTTCCTCAAGATTGTTAAATATATGTTTGACTTTTATTGATACTTGTATTTAGAATTTCTTTTCATTTTGACTACAACTTAGGGTTACTTTTAGATTGGATAGTTAAAAGTGTTGATCTCAAGTCAGCAATGTGTGCAAGGTAGTATGTGAGAATTGACTAAATTGATTTTTTTAAAAATATTTTTTAAGGAGTAGTCTGAAAATTATGTTAACAGTGAACTAAAGCTTCTGTACATAAGTGATAAATGTTCTAAGCATGAATGACCTTTTACTAGAGGAAGTACATATCCTGACGAATGTCAAGGGTTTAATACAGATCTTTGTATTGTACATTTTTTAAGAGATTTGACATGAACATGGTTGCATTTGCAAAAACAGAAGAAAATGAGGAAAGATAATGCAATTTATGGAATCATTGTTCCTGACCATATTTGTATAGGTACATACAGTCATGAACATCATGGTTTTGTAATAAATGTTGGTAAAAACAAATTGTACTTAATGTCATTCATTAAACCATTTTTTATAATTATAAAAAACACACAGTCGCAAAGTGGGATTCAGATCGTACCTCAGTATTTGTATATTGTGCTTGAGATTTTTACAGTTATCAGAAATGCAACACACACTTTCGCACACCACATGTGTTGAATTTATTTTCTTTATTGAGCTATTTTTATTATCCAGTTATTAATAACATTGTCACCATGTAATTTTGAAATCTGTTTAATCCTATTTAACATAATGGTCATGCCAAAATTTGTACTACCACTTGCTGATTTGACACAACCAATTATGCTTGGAATTAGGCAGCTACAGTCAAGTTGAGTATTAAAGTTATCAGCTTTAATAGCATTATTAAAGAAGATAATGATGGAATACATTTTCAATGCAATACAGTATTAATATAGCTTTAAATATTCATATAGAAATTGAAACATTGGTGACAGAAATTTGACACTTGGGTTTCTCTTCAACTTTGTAGCTGCCAAAACTAACTGTGACCATAGTTTGGGAAATGTGTTTCTTCAATCCATTCATTTTCATGTATTTATAATGAGGTCTTTCAAACTTGGAGAAAAGACAAACAGGGTATTGAAGAATTATAATACTACAACTCTGTGGATGATACAAATACCTCTGATTTATAATAATTGTTTATTAGTTCTGAACAGAAATGTACAGTGAAATGTCAACGTAACGAACATTTCAGTTTTGCGGTATTATTTCTTGGTTCCCACCAATTTTCTTATGGATCATTAACAAAATTCAGCCTTTCAGTGTTAAGAAAGTATGTTAGTGTTTCACCTTTTTGCTAAAGTTTTAAAGTTTATTTTCTCAAAATATAATCAAAATTCGTGTTGCAATAAACATTTTTCTTATATTGTATATTGTTATTTAAACATTACTACAATTCTAACCATTTTCCGTACATGAATGCAATTGATTGAACTTTGCACATCTTCCAATGCCAGAAGTCACGTTATTGGTTGGGGGAGAAGCACATAGTTCATGAACTACCAATCAGTGTTAAGATTTCATATCTTGATTTTATTGTTTGATTGATTTTATCATATGGATCAGAAACTCAAGACATTTGAAAAAAAAAAAAAAAATGGGGAACAGAACATTCTATGCAAGTAAATGTACAGTGTGAAAAATTGGAATGAAAAGTTTGCTGAAAATTTTCAAGAAACTTCCTTAAATTACTACAAATAATTATTTCATGTTCCTCTCATCTAATAAATATTGCTCTCTTTAATTTGTACATTTGTATTAAAGTAAAGTAGGTCTGGCAAGACATACGTTGTAATAGGTGATCTTAACACTAGATTTCCAGAGCTTCGAAGTACCAAGAACACATACAAGCCATCATTCTGTCAGCTGATGCATTTCGAGGGCTATTTACGGAATTTGGGGGAAATTACACAAATTTTCCGTGTTTGTGCAAATTGAGGGGAAAATGCAAACAAATTATATGAAATTAAAAGCTTATTATTTTCTTGTTTCATTCTTCTAAATGCATAAATGGATAATTACAATAAATTAAACTAACATAAATTTGAAACTGGAGAAAATAATTACTAAAGAACTATATTGAAGGCATCCATTGCAAATGCACATGGAGTACATTTCAAACATTTGATTTGAGGCTTTTTGCCGAGCCACCTACAATTGACATGATTTCAGTTGACCCAGCTTAGTTTGTTCATTAATTTTTTTTTCAATTTTATGCGTATGAAAGAGTTAATTCTACTACTCAATATTCAATCAATTTTTTTTATCATAAACTTTTCTAGTGCCTTCACCAAAGACTTCAGAGTTTATTGCTTTTAAACCACATACATTTGAATGGCTTTGGCCATCTCCTAGAAATACATTTTAAGCTATGTAATCATAAAACATATTCAGTTATTCAATTGTTATACCATGTTTCAGAATGCATGAGGATGATGTCAATGGTTACACTTCCTTACATGTTGTTAAACATCATAAAATTGTTTAGTATGAAAATCATGCCTGCAGATCATTATTTTTTATTAGAAACTTTTGAAATATCATGAGGATGATGTGAAATCAGTTAAGATTTTCACCCTGCATAAGCTAACCAAAGTTCTGATAGGTGGTTTCTAGCACTTCACCAAAATAAGGAAAAGTAGTTTTTCACTTGTGAAGTATTTCGTAACCAAATAGCTTAGATAATACTCTGATTCGCTGTTGAGGCACTCCAAATATCGACACTGCTGATAACTCAAAATGTGTGGGAAATGCTTTTCATCAAAGAAAACATACTTCATTTCTCGAAAATTGATTAGATGATGTAAACATGACTCACCTAGAGAAAAGTGGGACAGTAATTTGGGCAAGCCATCAGTTTGACAGCTTTTGAGTATGTAAGGTAGAGTATGCAATAAATCAATTCTGATTCAATAAAATTGTTCTAAAATTTCACTTAGTTTCCTCTTCATAAATATATTAAAAGTTACCAAATCTCAGTATTCATGTGCTCATTGTTTGAAAGAATACAACACTTCAAAAGGATGTTCCTGTTAAAACCATGGCTTTGGTTGTTTTAGGGTTAAAAATTGACTTCTTTCTTAATAATGAAATTTAACTCTAACAAATATAATTACTGCAGTTGCCACAATTATGTTATATCTGGTATTTTACTGAGGGGGAAAAATCTATGAGGTTTGGAATAGACTAGTTCCAAAAATATCAGTGAATACCAAAAATGAGTGTACCTGCGTTGATAAAAAGCTTCACTTCGTTATGCCAAATTATCACTCCGTTATGCCTTTTCTTTTTTTTTTTTTTCTCTCCATATTGTTAAATTATGCATATTTTGAAACATTAGGTGGTAATTTTTTCTTTCAGAGACCCTTGAACATTAAGGAACCAAGCTGATAACACAACACTGCTTCTGATAAACCCTCCAATTAATTCCAAATTTAACAAACTTGGGCTTAGCAAAATAAATTTGTGAAACTAAATATCTGGTGAACTTCTGTTTTACTTTTTGTGTTTGTTTTTTACTTTACTTTCTATATTGTGTACAAAATGTTATGTACAGCTTCAAAAACCTTAATGTCATGATTGTAATAGAAAAATGATTTTGGTGATGACACAAATAGCCCTGATAACAAAAAAGTAATTTTTTCAAACATTTTTGCCCATTCATCAATTTATGAACAATACTTGCGTCTAAGTCTTGCCTCAGGATTTTCTGTGAATTTATATTATGTTCTCTTCCTGATGTGACTCAATTAGACCCTAGGAATTTGAGATGGGTTATTTAAGTTTTGGAGGTATGTACTTTACAAAGCTCAAATTAAATTTTCAAAATGTTTTAAAAGTGGCTTGGTAATGTTTGGTATAATAATTGATAGTGTTATCTGTGAATTACTGGTTTAAAGTACAATAATGAATAGGGTTAAACTCCCATTTTCATTAAAACCTCTGAAGTTTTGAAACTAAGTTTAATGTATGGTGTAACCTTTTTTTAGGGGCAGGCTTCTCTTATCTCTTCAATTTATGAAATTTCTATATATATATATATTTAATATATATATATATATATATAAAATGATTGAATAAATTAAACATATCTATATTCAAGAAACTAATTTATTTTTAAATTTGCTCAGGCTTTGAGGAAAAAGATAGTGCGATTCGCGAATGAGTATTTCCCAACCTCCGTTTTCTGCACTCTTGTCTGAATTTTGTGCATGTGATCCGCTCTGCGTTGTTGGCTGCTATGTTGGTTTCCCTAATCGACTTTGAATTTCTTTCCACGCTCGAAGGCCTGTGTACGCTTTGTACATTGCACAGAGACGTGACTTTTAATCTCCTCCTTTCGAGTGATTCCCATTATATAGTTAATTATGCAAAAAATTTAATTGCTCAACAAACTACCACGTAACTAATGGCGGGCGAGCCGGCCACCCCCAGGCCATATATTATGGTCCCTCCCACGATGTGGTTTGTTTGCAACAAAATGGCGAGCAATATTATTTCGCCAGAAAAGTTGCCAATGTAAACATACTGGCAATAAATATTTCTGATGTAGCCAATATTTCTTGCTAGATATTCCGGTAGTAATGTAAACCCGTGTATTTCCACCTTCGGAAAGATATTGCTGGCTGTTGCTGGGGCTAGAATTGGAATGAAGTATGAGCAAGATATTGCTGGAAGAAGCCAATGTAGACCACTGCCATATGCGTAGGACATGTACGGCAGTACATAGACGTAATATTTCCATTTTAATATGCATTTTTTTCGTAAAAGTGTGTATGAAAAACATTAAAAGTAATAAATATTTCCTCTATGGTTGATTATCAAATGTTCAAATTTTGATTCAGCCATAGATGCCCCTGATTATTGATTTTTTTACGTTACAAATTATTAAAATATTAATCTAATCTAAATCAATTTTAAGATTGCTCTATAATATATGTTGTAGGAAATGGATATTTTAAAACTTTTTGCCGAATTAGTAATTGCTCTTTTTATTTACAGATTACTTTGCTCCCATAGGAATCGAAATCATTTTGTTTTATGAAAAATATTCCGACACTCAAAATATTCACACTACCTAATTCGCACAAGCCCCATTTTCCTTCTTAAAATTTAGTCACACGTCCTCACAAATCGTCGGCGTTACTTCATCTCCTCATTTCGCCCTATAAGTGCGACCGTAACTTGTATCGTCTGCCTCCCAGTAGTTGTCGGGAAGTGAGTGAGGTATAACCTCAATTTCATGCGCCATTTTCCTCGCGCCGTCACGAAACACGGCAACAAATAGTCGTAATGTAAAGCGATCGGCAAAATCTTGCTCAGATCTTTCTGGCAATATATTGCCCCTCCTTGCTCTTTCTAGTGTAAAGATGACCGCAAGAAGCAGAAACAAATTGCTAAAAGATATTGCGGAAACGTATTGCTAATGTAAGGCCAGCATGAAGCCCGATTCTGTCGCCAAAATATTTTTTTTTTAAATTTTCATAAATGAACTCTGTGCTCCATGGAGTGAACACTTCAAAGTTAACTGTTTTGCTTCCACTTTGTTGATTGTTGGCTCGCTTGTGAAGTCGGTACTTCCCCGTTTCGTGTCCGCGCCGAAGTGCGATCCGTTCAGCCATGGTGAAGTTGAAAAGTGTGCCGAGTTGACGTGTTTATATTTCTTCTTTGAAATCGGTCATTCCAAAGCATTTAGTTTAATGTGCAACTCAATTTAGAGTGTCTAAAAATAGCTGGGAAAATTTGTTATATTAATGATAAACACAAAATTTGAGTTGACTTTAAAAAATGACGGGTTTATTCTATTAGTAGATTATTATAAATTATATTCCAACAAGTTCCAGCTGCAACTCGACAAATAATTGTTTTTACTTTCTTGTCCTTAGGTACGTAAGAAAAAGTATTGTTTTCGTGTGCCGGAAAATTGTGAATTTTTGACACAAAAACTCCTATTGTGAGGCCGTGGTTACGAAAAGTTGGATAAATCTTGTTCATATACATACATAAATTACTTCCTCTAAACGTGTAATCAGAATCCATGTTTTGTGGGTCCATGATACCGAATATCGATTAACACATAACGTCCGTATGTGGTCAACTTAAACCGTTCAGCAAATTTTCTCCAAAATTGATATTCCTCGATTGATCTGGCTGTTGTGGTGGCGTCTTGAATTTGAAGCCGATATTTTAATTTCGAGGTTTACGTGACATGAACCCCCCTGGGTAATTTTCATTCACATTTTTTTTATTTAATTTTGTTGTCGGAGGCTTAAGAAATTGGTGCAGGTTGTCGGTGCAGGTGCAGGTTGTGTATCGTTGAAGTTCGTAATTTTTCGAAAATTGCAAAAGACAATTTTTTTCTACGTCTCCACTAAAAGTGAATACAAAAATTATCTGTATTTTCGGAAATTGCAAAAATTTAAATTTTGAAAACTACAAATGGAAGATAAAAATTGTCATAAAATCTGTTCTAAAACATCGGTTGTCAAAAAAAGGTTATTTACAATTTTAAAAAAATTAGTTGTTTCCGCTTGAGATTAATAAAATATTTATAAGTGACCTAACATCAAGGGCATTTTTAAGT